CCCCCCCCCCTTCCTTTTTTGTTAAAATATGCATTTTGAAATATTGATTTGATAGAAAATGTGTGACTAAAAAATAAAATAAATAAAAATTAGATTTGGTTGTAATATTATTTTATTGAAAAATGTGTAATTGAAAATAGGATAAAGAAAAATGTATTTCGAAAATAATATGGACAAAACAAGAGCTAAATCTATTCCTATTATAATTTTAAAATTTTCAAAAATAATATATTCATCCATACTGCATTCCAACATTAATTCATTATTTAAAGACTATATATCCACAGTTTAACCAAAAATAAATTATGTTAAGCTATTTATAAAAAAATAACAACATAATATTGTGTTATCTCGCCAAAACAACTAAGACTAAAATAATATGCTATTTTGCAATAGATTACATTACTTACCTCTAGAAGGGTCCATTTGATTGCGAATATGGAATTTTGGTGGAAAGAAAATGAATTTCAGGGAATTGAATTGCCTAAAAATTGTGTTTATCAGAATTGTTAATTAATAGTATTTGATTGGTATAATTTTTCACCTTAAAAATGTTAGAATTAAAGTGTTTTTTGATGTTCGTTTGGCTTTATTTTTCAAGGAAATTGTCAATTTAAGGGATATCAACTTCTACAGTTGTTTCTAGAATTTGTTTTCATTGCAAAAAAAAATAAAAAAAAAAAGATTCAAATTCATTTATATTTTGGTGTTCGTTTGATTTTGTTTTACATAGAAGTTATCAATTTAAGGCGTATTATCTTTTACAATTGTTCCTGAAATTTGTTCCCATTATCCCAAAAGAAAAAAAAAACAAACAAACAAACAAACCAAAAAAAAAAAATAATAATAATAATTGCTTGGAAAACAAAATGACAAAAACACCATAAGAATTTCAATCCCACCTAAGTAAGGAAAAACAGGTCACGTGCCCTAAACCTAGAAAATGAATTGCCAATAAAATATCGGCTATCAAACAAGCCATTAGTTGGAAAATGGTTGAATATTTTCCATCTTCCATGAAATTGAAGTGCTATCATAAGAGTAAAACTAATGGTGGCACTACACATATCAAGTTAAATTTATTATGTTCAATGTGAATATAAGAAAAAATTGATTTTGATTCCCCATTGCAAGAAAATTGTAGAGGAGAACAAGGGAAGTTTGTGGGCTTTTCGAAATGCTACAAGGTAATATTTGCTTTCTTTCATTTTTGCTCCTTCAATGTGTTTTTTTATATTAACATTGAGTGTGACTCACTGTTGGTGGTCTCATGGATATTATCCTGGAAATATTCTTTGTGGTATCCGTGGGACTTCTAAGATGATCTTGTGGAGCTATTATTGAAGTTTGATTACCAAGTGACATATCAATGGAAAGAAGGAAATAAAGTGACAGATTGTCTAGTTGGGTTGGAAGCTAAGGGCCTATCAAAACATTTTAATAACTGAACAAACTCGCCAAGGCTTGCTCGAAGCTTAATTAATCTAAAATTAGGGATGACAACGGTTCAGTTCCGGTTCGATTAGGCCAAAACCATCACCAAATCGTCAAATTTTTTGCCATACCATAACCACATCATAACCACGTAAATCGGTTCAGTTCGGTTCGTATCTCGATTCGCCTCGGTTCGGTTCGATTAATAACTACGAAAATAAATTATTTTTTATAGGTCCATCTATCAAATTGATATTAAAAAATTTATGAAAAGGGAGTCAATGAAAACAAAAACATAATATTCCAAACGAAAATGCAAACAATATCCCAAATTTCAATTGCAAAATACAAATTTAACAAACAATATTATGAATATAATAGTACTAAATTTTTCCTTTATTCTTGATTATTGTGCATTATAGTTACTTGATTCATGCTCAATAATTCAAAAGTTTCAACCTTAACTCATATTCAATTTTCATTCTTCCTCACAACTCTTAATAGCATAGGTCAGCACTCAAAATTGATTCATATATGTAAATAAGAAATATAAGTAGAGAATACAATGATACTACCTAATTCAAAATGGTTTTAACTAAGATTTAAATAAAAAAATGTACCTCTTCGTCAACTTCCTTCTCACTAAACTTTGTCATCCCTAATAAAAAAATGATTTTTTTTAAGCGGGTAATCAGTTCGATTTCAATTCGACAGCGTAAATACCATACCCGCACCGTGGCGAACCGGTTCATCAAAATCAAATACCATATTCGTCCCATTGCACCATCGGTTCGATTTTTTTCATTTTTCGATTTTAACGGTTTAAATTGTCATCTCTATCTAAAATATGATGGGGGTGACGTATTTGAGGAAGTGAACTATGCAGCATGAATTGTTTTGGACAATGATGTCTATTGAGATTTTACTTGTTATTTGGATTGTCTTTTTAGTCTTGTATGGCGAGGATTTTAATAAAGCTCGGAATTTTATTTTTAATTTTTCACAATTATGTGTGTTCTTTTTGTAATTTAACAACTTTTGAGAGAGGTAATTTGGTAGCAGGTGGGAAGCTTGTATTCGTTGCAGAGATTTTTGAAAATTCTGCATTTGTTTTTATTAAAGTATGTGTGTGCATTTAGAATGATAAATTTTATTTGGTTCTGTTCTTGTCTATTTAAGTAAAATGTTAAAATATAGCATAGAAAAGAATTTAAAAGTGGAAGGATATATAAAAACTGTGGATGAGAATCACATCACCCTTTTTATTTCTTTGTATTTTTATCCTCTCAATAAATTTATAAATGGTCTATAAATAGGAATAGCATGAGGAACTAACAATATTATCCTTATAATATAAAATTTGTTTGATAACATGATTACGAGATTCATAGTAGATATAAGAACATAAGTTACAAAATGAAATAATGATTGTGCATTTGTGGTGTAATATTTCATTCTCGATGCATGTAGCATTGTCATAATCAATTCCATTTCTCAATCAATTTAATAGTACAATGATATAAAACTTAAATGCATTACACATGTTCTTCTAGTACTCGTGATCGGTTTAGTTATAAAAATTTAAGTTAAAATTAACAATTAATTTTAACCACATATTTTATTCGTAGCTTTTAACGTTTTGACTACATGTTTCCTCAACTTGTATTAAAATTTAAGTTTTAACAAAACCAAACAGAAACATTGCAATTTACTATGAGCCTATTTCGAAGTGATTTTGAAAATTGATTTTTTGACTGTTAGAAGAAAAGTGGGGTCCACCCGTGAGAAAAGAAGTCAAATATGACGACTGGAATAGTGAAATAACGGCCAAAAAATCAATTTTTAGTGATTGTATTAACATTGAACTTCACTAAACATAACAATTTTGTAAGTTATTTTTGGAGAAATGATTTTTGTTTATAAAATGCACATATGTTGTCTAGATATTTAAGGTTCTATTTGGTAGAGTTTCTTTAAAATTCACTTATTCTCAAACTTATTTTTCATCACTGATTCTCTCAATATAATAATTTTGTATGTGAACAAATAATTTTTCTATACTTTTTAACAACATTCTCCAAAAAAATCACTTTTTACAAATATATTCTCAAAAAATCTATATCTAACAGACTCTTAATTATCATTAATTAGCAAAAATGGAAACTGATTGGCCAGCCAGCTAGCTAGCTAGAATTTTAACTTAAGAATATCATAATACAATCCTAAATTAGTATGCCCAGTTCATTTAAAAAACTTGAGCATCTTGAACATTTAGCACGCATCTCTCTTGTACACTTAAATTAAGAAATAAATTTGAAAATTGAAATCAATCTTGAATTTAACAATTGAAAAACTTCATATACTTGACAACTCATGCGTCACGTCTTTTCACATTAGGGAATTGATGCTTATATATTCGAGCTCACAGCTTGGAAGACAGTCCTTCACATCTGGGGGGTCCACAATTTTTTTTTTTTTTTAGCGCGATTCCCTCACATGTGAGGGGACTGTACATTATACAGTTCAAGGTGAACTGTACATGATGCTCAATCCATCACAATATGTTATTGAAGCATCCACTTGGATGAATAATTGTTGATTATAATTAAAGTGGAAGAAGATTTGCTTTGAGTCAAAGGTTAGCACTAGGGGAATATGATGCGACTCAAAGATGTTGCACTATCTATAATAATACAATAATAATTAACATGTCAAAAGGCGCACATATATAAAGGTAATGTTGGTCTACCAAGTTCCAGATTTCGTGACAACAGGGAACCAAACGCTGTACCCACTTGTACTTTGCCACTTGCCAACATACTTCTACGAGCCCGATTCTTCGCAGTTGGAATCGAGAAAAAATATTTATCAATAGATTAGGTAGAGTTATTTTTAATGTGTGCTACAATAGTCTAATGGATATCAAGTACTTCTTGAATTATCTTAGTGAAAATAATACGGTAATGGAATTATTAAGATTTAGAGTTCCATCTTAACATGACTAACATTATTAAGACGAGTAGCTTATGTCTTTATATATATATTGCATCTCTCTTGTACACTTAAATTAAGAAATAAATTTGAAATCAATCTTGAATTTAACAATTTAAAAACTTCATATACTTGACAACTCATGCGTCACGTCTTATCACATTAGGGAATTGATGCTTATATATCCGAGCTCACAATTTGGAAGACAATCCTTCACATTTGGGGGGTCCGCAATTTATTTATTTTTTTAGCGCGACTCGCTCACATGTGAGGAGACTGT